CACCAATTATCCATCGTAAACCACCTGTGAAAGCTCTCTATCCCACAAATTAGATTGCCAAGTATATGAAGGAGCCGAACCAGCTTGGGCATTCAAGAAATTAGTAGGGAAATATCTTGCTTTCAGCATACGAGCTACAAGTGAATTAGGAGATTCAAGCGAGCGCCATCCTTGTTTTGCCCACAGAGCTTTATTAAAATTGACAAACTCACGGAAGCTCAAACCGCCCTCCGACTTATGACATTGACAACACAAAGCTTTCCAATGAATTCCTCTCTCAGTGCGTCACCAAAAGAGAGCAATAATACTTTCAATCTCATTGCAAATGACAACCGGTAAGCTGAATACACTCATAGAATAAGTAGCATGGCTTCGCAAACTGCCTTAATTAACACTTCCTTTCTAGCTTTCAAAAGTAATCGACCTTCCCAACCTGTAATCTTCTTCCATATGTGATCTTTAAGAGTACAATAAATTAGATTTTTTTTGTTCTTTCCGGCAATGGTAAGGAGTCCCACATATTTTTCGAGGACAATAGGAAAACCCAGTATAGCTTGAATTTGGGCTAGTGCTGCCGGTGACATAGAAGGACTAAAACACATGGTTGATTTCTCTAGATTAATCTGTTGACTCGAAAGCATCCTCATAGATGCGGAATATACGCTTTAACTTATCAACTTGAGTAGGCTCTGCATCACAAAACAACAAACTATCATCCACAAAAAATAAATGATTTAGAGAAGGTGTCGAAGCAACAATTGAGACTCCCCTAATCTTATAATTGAACTCAGCTTGGTGGAGAACAGCAGAGAATCCCTCAGCCACGATAAGAAATAAGTAGGGTGAAATTGGATCCCTTTGGCTCAAACCCTTGGATAGGATAAGCTTTCTAAAAGGTCGCCCTTGAAGTAACACCGAGTAAGAAGTTGTGGTAATACGTCCCATAATAAAATTGACAAAACGAGCAGGAAATTCCATAGTATGCGTCGTGCGGTTTAGAAAGATCCATTCAACACGATCATAAGCTTTTGCCATATCCAGTTTCAACACAAGCTTTCCCCGTCCTGCTTTTCCAGCCGCTTCAAATAATGAATAGTTTCAAATGCTGCTAGCACATTATCCAATATCATACAATCAGGAATAAGAGCACTCTGAAACTTTGAGATCACATGGGGCAAGGCCTTCTTCAATCTATTGGCAACTGTCTTGGAGATAATCTTATAGAGCGCATTACAGAGATCAATAGGACGGAATTCAGTAACTTGTGTCTGTGAAGCAATCTTAGGAATAAGAGCTTTCATTGAGGGAGTCTTAGAGAAAGCTTTGAAAACTGAGGAAAACTAAAAATTGAGCGTAGTTACAACTGAGGCTAATGCCAACTTAAATAGACTATGTGTTTCCTTATATATATATATATATATAGAGAGCTTCCATTGAGAGATCCCTCAAATAAGCTTATTTGAGGGACACCCCTTGTAGGCAGTGACGGATCTAGGAATTTTTCAGAGGTAACCAAAATCAATACCAATTAATCTAACCCAAAGTACATGTGATTTGGAGGTCACAAGATAAAAGTAGATGTGATTATGAGTTTGGGGTATTTTTCGGTGAATTTTTTGGAGAACATATGAATTTTTAATGAATTTCTAAATTTGGTCTAATTAAAATTTGACACATAGCGCCCTAATAGTGGACCACATTAAAAAGGAATGCAAGTTGAGAAGCACAGGATTCTAACTACAAACACAGTCATCTTCTTCTTCGACTGGTTGTGTGTGCAACTTAAGTGAAAATTTTTCAAAATCTTCTAAAATCTATAACTTTGGTTGTGGAGGTCCAATTGATGAACCGTTTTCTCCTACGTGATCGTGAGATCGCGCTCAACAATCTAAGGTAAATATTCAGGGTCTCACACAGCAGCAACAAAACGGCATCTTTGAGGCTTTTAATCGAACACTTGGAGGGCACAATCAAATGGGCAAATTCCTGCATCTCCAACCCATTTTCCTGCGAGAGGAGGTGCACCTGCACCTCCTTGCGCCTCTGTGGCTCCGCCCCTGCTTGTAGGGCCCACTCCGGATTGTATTTCACTAATCTAAACCGTCTATTTTGTAGATACTCATTCAAAGATCATCTCTACAAAAAATCACTTCAATCCGATATCATTTGACCACTCAATTGAGTTCTTGAAATTTTAGTACTTTCTTGAAGCACCATGTTCATTGATTTTGTAGAACACAATTGGATGTCGATATGCTTTCTGATTTGTCTAATTTTTTGCACTATGAATATATACTAAAAAAATAGATGGTTTGGATCGTTGAAAATAAATTTGTAGGGTACCCTAAAAGGCGTCCCTCAAATAAAATTATTTTAAGAATCCATAAATATGTAGATATAATATATGTATATATTTTTATTCACTACAAAGAACCTATAATAGGGACATCTTATTACAAGCCCAATGTGCAATTCTATACTTCACAACTCCTAGCTCTAGAAGATTATTTTCTTATGAACCACCACGACGAGTAAAATAAAATAAAAAATAAAAAAAACATATATTTAGTCGAAAACAATATTCTAAAATTAATGGGGCATTGATTTGACTGTGCGGTATGGCAATGGCATCGGAACCCTCTATGTGCTACTTCTATTTAATCAAGGAATTAGTTGCTATTAGAGCTGTTGGATGAGCTCAAGGGATTGGGGAACTGTCTCTATTATCTCACGGTCAATTTTGCAGTGAATAATATGTAACGCAAACCCTTCCATTAATTGGAAGAACGTCTTTCATACCCATAACCCATTAATTGGAAATGGAATATATCGTCCATGATTATTAATATCTTATGAAATTAATAAATCTTGAATATTTTCGTTTATTTCTTTAATAATACTATTATTTAATAAAAATGTCTATATTTCATTTTTTATTTTAATATGAAATAATCAAAATCTCACCTAGAATTTTTGAAATAGAAATATTGTAACCAATGAGATCTGTTAAGGCGCAAGGAGGTGCGGCTGCATCTTTTCTCGCCAGAAAAACCATTGTAGGTCCTTCAACTTTCCTCTTTGCTCATGCTGGTGGTGGTGCACTTCAGGTGTTCGACAAAATGCCTTAGCCAAAGTTTCTTGGGAGCTTTAGTTTTAAAGCATAATATAGTTTACTAATTTAGTAGAAAGAAATACAATTTAGTCTAATTAGCAAAAGGCAAAAAACCAAAATGTAACAAAAATACCATTACAAAATATGAAAATTACAACATATGCCATTTTCAGTATTTAGTTTTAAACCAAAACTGAAAAACGACATCAAACCAAAACTGAACCAAAACGACATCAACCGAAACCAAAATTGAATCACAACCCCTTCGCGCGACGTTTCAACTTCACCTCCAGAAACCTCTGCAACTTCACCTCCAGAAACCTCCCGACCACCAACGATCATCGAAGACCACCAACGATCATCGAAGACCACCAACCCATTCGTGCGACCATCATCGAAGACCACCAACGATCGAAGCCGATTCTTCATTCTCTCTTTCAGCAGTTCCAACCTATTCCCCCAAAATCTGAAACGGCGACCAGCGACGAGCGACGACCAGAAGCGACGACTAGCAACGACGACGATTGAAGGGTTTAGCACTCTCTTGGGGAAAAAATCGTAAGAAAATGACCCCTAACACAAATTTGCCTTCGATTCTAGGGTTCTGAAATTTTACTTGCCTCGCCCTAGCAAAAGGAATTGGTTACACATAATCATAATTGAAATCCAAGAAAATATAATTCGAATGAATAAGAATGAAAACACCTGAAAGTAGCAAAAATCCAAAACCCTAGCAATTGCTCCCAAAGCCAAAAAGAAGTCAAAAAAGAAGTTCTTTAAATTGCTGTGAAAAGGAACTTAAATACCTCCTAAAACCTAGCTACCCAATCCCCACAATGAAACTAAGTTAAAATAAAGTAAGACTAGGAAATAAAGTCCAAATTGGATTAGGAGAATCTGCCCACAATCTGCCCAGCCACGTTTTGGTCTCAAATCTCCTCCAAATCTGGCCCAAGATAGCTTGTTTTAAAGATAAAAATATTCCAAACACTTCTCCAGAAGGCCACGAACCCATCTGAGGTCATCTTGGGCTCCAAAAATGCAATACAATCCCAAAACATCACTATTCCAGCACTGCACCAAACCCATGAGAGTGATACTGTGGAGAGGCTTTGTATAGTGCTTATGATGACAAAAAGTAAAACTTTACCACTCCAATCTGTGTATCCTTTGAAATGGGACCTGGGTTTGCCTGATGGTTTTGAGAAAGTGTTGGTTCCAAAATACACAAATTGTTTTTGAATCATTAAGGCCTCAAATGGGATTGGTTGCTTGAAGGTCATACAATGGCCCAAGGAGTATGCGGTGTCGGAATTGCAGAGGAGTAAAGAGGGCAGTGATTTAGGAGATGAGTTTACCAGAGAGAGAGAGAGAGAGAGAGAGAGAGTTTATTTCAATAATCTGTTTTTTATTTTATTTTTCATTATTTTTTTATTTTTTTAACATACAAAATGACCATTTTGCCCTTAACGGCAAATTGAATGAAATGTTGCAGATTTAGATGGTAGGGGGGAAATTGACACAAAAAAAAAAAAATTCGTATCCTTAATTTTCTTTTAAAAAAACGGATAGGTGGCAAATCGAAAGTTAGGTACAAGTTGAAGGGGTGAATCACTAGTATACCCTTATAAATAACTACGTAACTAGTGTGTTATATTATTTATGATTCAAGAAGGACAAAAGGTTTTGGTTATGTTATATCTTCTAGAATAGAACTAGAATGACAAATTTTACCATGCATATCATATAAATAAAAGCATGATAGTGGTAAAGGTCATATACCGCCCATAATTCAAATCTGGAAGATACATCACTTCTCTGATGAATTTTCTGCCTCTATTTGTGTCCATAACGAGTGAACCCATACTAGCTACATCCACAAGTGCACCTATTGGCATTTGAACCTTTCTGCCACATTTGTCCTTATATCAACAAGGAGCTCCACATTTCTAGCCATGTGATTCCTACAACCACTGTCAATGTACCACTCTCCATTTATCTTTGCCTCAGTTATTGCACTACTTTCATAGAATAGGTTCCCTGTCACCTCCATTTGGCTAGCACAGTTTGCCTTTTGCACTATCTTACCTGAAGTACATTCTCTAGCCAAGTGACCAAATCTATCACAGTTATAGCACTTAGGCTTCCCCTTGTATCTGCACTCACCAAAATGAAACTTGGAGCACACTTTACACTGTGGTTTTATAACTTCTTGACTCATTGACTGTGACGAGTTCAAGTTTTGTGCAAAGCTAGTCTATTGAAACTTGGGTTTTGATTCCCATTGTTTACCCTTAGGATTCCAATTCTTCTGAAATTTGGATGAACCAGATTGAGCACCACCCTTGTTCTGCCCTTTTGGACTCCCAGAGTATGAGGCAAATGCTTTCTCAGCTGTATCAACAATATGCAAATCGAACCACTGTTCTTGGCTTTTCAAAATAGCAATCACTTCCTGCAATTCTACAGTCTCTAGGCTCTGTGTTTTCAATCTCAAGACATATAGGATCATATGCTTTATTGAGACTACAAAACCTTTTGAACAAGTCTCATTTGAAAGAATCTCACCAAATGTTTTCATCAGATTAATCAACTCATTCAATCGTGTAAGATAATCAGATAGAGGCTCATTATCACGCATACTAGTGTATTCAAATTCACGTCTGAGATTTTGAAGTTTTGCTGATCTAACTTGGTCACCACCATGATATTCTCCATACAACAGATCCCATGCCATTTTAGCTGAGTCTGCGTTGGCGATAAAAAGGAAGATTTGATTGGAAACTGCGTTTTGTATGATACCCAGAGCTTTTGCATCTTTCATGAAGATTTCAGCCATTTTCTCATCAACCTCATCTTCTAAAGCTTCCCCAGCTTTCTTTTTTCTTCTCCAAATCAAGAATCGTAATTCCCTTTTCCACCAGATTCCATAAACCATATGATTTGAATATGGTTACCATTTTGATTCTCCATAACTCATAGTTCTCACTGAAGAAGATCGGAGTTCTCACTTCTGAACTTCGAGATCCAGCCATTCATGAGCTCAGATAAACCAAAAACAAGTTGTTTCAGGTCAAAATCGAGCTCCAGCAACCTTCAACAAATCTTGAGTGAGCTTTGATATAGCTCGATTTCAGAGTCTTAAGAACTTTCAAGTGATCGAACTTGGCTCTAAGGCCATGTTAGTGTTTCTTGTATGATTCTGGTTTCTATGGAATCTCAATGCATATATGAAAAAGATGATGAAGAAAGAAAGAGAGAGAAACGAAAGTGACAGAGAATGAAATGTTCTCTCACTGCTCTGCAGAATACAGCAGGGGAATTTTACTTCTTCATATCATGACCACCTCACACGCATAGAGCAAGGCATATTACCGTTAGCACTCTTAGCTGGATCCCTTACATCACAAAATGATCTCAGCCATACATCTAGCTATCTACTAGGATCATTAGACATGGCATTGTATGCCTTACAATCTTAGCTTCACACTTGACAATGATAAAACTCAAGTGAATACCCAATTAAGCTCATAGCTTATTTCACTAATTCTAATCGGCTATAGACTTATAATTCAACAAGTTCAAAGCTTGTGGGTAGAGCTCAAGGCATATATACTTTTCCTTCTCAACACAGCTCTGCGCTGCTTATGGCCTTGAACTTTGCTTTCTTAGACTCTGTGCATAATGGCAGTGCCCTTAGCATTCTAGGTAGGAATCCATTTTTTCAAGGGACCCGAGAGATGCCAATCGTCGGAGGTACTGGGGTTTCCGGTATGCAAGGGGCTATGCATTGGTGAAGACAGTTTCCTTGAGTGCAAAAACTGGAGATGCTGCTGTCGAATACAATGCGTCTGTGTTGCACTACTGAAAAGGTTAATGCTATTTGCATCACATCATGTGGGCAAGAGATGTGGTCAGTAAAAGTGGTACAAATAGATTTTTTGTTACTAATAATATCATGCCGCATTTGTTGCTTTTTCTTTATTAGTTGCGTTGCCTTCCATGAATACATCAGTCTATTCTCTGTTGATTTTAGCATAACTTGCATAGCATTGAGTGTGATATTCGGCTACTCAAAAGTACCGTTTCTCTTCTTACCACCAGTTGTCTAAGCAACCAAACTGATGTAAACTTTGAGCACTGCACACTACGGGAAAGGAAAAAAGGTCCTGCCGTCTCACATGCAACTGAGACCAGTAATGAATGCAATTCGATATCAGAAAATAACTTTGAAGTGTAATGTCATGTTTAACTTTGAAGAATCTATAGAACAGGGTTCAAACCCAAATATGGCAGAAACATCAGCGTTTATGTGGGAAGAAAACTAAAAATAGGATACAAATTAACAACTAACTGAAGTTTTAGAACAGAGAATAATTCTCCCAAGCTTCTGAGGAAGATACTATGCAGTTGCAGAGGAAGAAATGCATAAAATCCTTTACACAAACAAGAAAAGGAAAAATAAGAAAGAAAAAAACAAAAACAAAAGCACTCAATCCCCACATCGACCACCAACATCACTCGTATCTCCTAAACCTCCAGGCCGATATTGAAAAAAGCGGCCTGTCATGCCAACAAATAACTAAACATCCATTTTCTTCTTTAATCTTAAACCCTTCATAGCCCTGCAACTGCCTCCTAGCCTGTAACATTCCGTGGTAGCTTAAAGGGACCCTGCCAAACCCAGCCAACTCAAGCCTTAAAATCCACTTCTCAAGCTTCTCATGCCTCTCCGTTCTCTCAGTTCCCTCACATGCTATGATGTTTTTTATTTCCTCTCCGAAAAGCATCTTCTCAACCTTTTGTCGCTCCATTGGTGATCTCGGAACTGTAGACTCCAAGCAATCAAAAAGCGCTCCATAAAAGTTCAATGCTTCCATGATCCTGTCCATTAATGTATGGCCATTGTGGTTTGATTCTTGCTCGGTGATCACCATTAGCTTTGGTGAAAGGCCCCAAAGAGAAGTTAAAAAACTCCCCATCTTTGGTGAACCACCTGATAGTGGGGACAATGCAGAATCAGGACTTAGGTTATATGCACTGATTGGATCTTTCTCCAGCCACTCTCCTAAAGTGAGTTTATTCATATGCAAGACTTTCTGCAGATTCTTAGATGCTAATGGTGATTTTCTCCTAAGATCATCATCAGCTGCCAAGAGAGAATGTAGCTGCAATACAGAGCAGACTGCAAGAGCCTCTCCAGTCTTGACACGCAAACTTTCGATATCAAGGTTCTCTAACTTGCTAACTATAGGATTGAACTGAAACGGGATGTTCAGATTTCCTGCTTCTTCAGTCAAGCGATGGAACATTTGGTCTAATACCTCTTTCTGTTCGTGAATGCCTGTAATTCTCAAATGAGGCGGGCCTTCAGGTCGAGCATTTAATGTCTGAATCAGATAAATCCATTGGGCAGGCTCACATGAATGAAGATCAATAATATGAACCATCTTTTCTCCTTCCATTGCTTCCACTATGGCCTGATTTGTAACCACGTACGCAACCTTCAAGAAAGGACATAGATCACAGAAGAGCCTTTTAACGAGAATTTCTTCTGAGACTGATGTTATTTTCGTTGAGTTAAGAGCTTTATACAGACCAGGCCAAGCTTTAAGCATCCGGTCTGCAAGTGCCTCATTGAAATAAGCAGCTATTCGCTGCATTGTATCGCCATCAGGAGAGGCTAGCTGAGAAATATGGTCAAGCCAAATATTTGCATTCTCAATGCTACCAGAAGCGACATGGTTAGCACAAGAATAAAGAAGCTGGATCAGATATAAACCTCTCTCTTCAGATTTTAGCTCCCTGAGCCATGTTGGGTATGGAGATCCCATCCCAGGAGATAGCCAGGGAAAGAACTGCAGGGGTGATGAAGTTACTGGGGACCCGTCCTCTTGCGCCATTCTTTCAATTAACAATAAAAACAATTAGGGGATGCTGAAGATCAGATTGCCAGAACTGTTTCAAAACAGAAAGAATTAGACCAGAAGGAAAGCAGCCGAGAAAAAAAAAAAATTTAATTAAGTCTGCTTTTTTTAATATTATTTTCTACCGGTTTGGTTTCCCAAATATGAACGGCTTCGATTTCAACTGAAATTTCTCCACATCCAGACAGACCTTATTTTGGTATCTAATAACGCATAAATAGCAAGGTCAAGAAACAGGCAAGAAGATCAGAGAACACACAATCAAAATTACCCAGGGATCCCAGTAAATTTGATGTGAATTGGGTCAACTGACCTTGTGGTTTCTGAGAAACAGAGCGAAAGAGCAGAAGATTAAAAATACAATATTTGATTCTTGTTCTTGTTCTTGCAAATGATTCCATTGTTAACAAAACTAACAAATTCATTATAGCTGAGCCACATGGAGCCAATTCATTATAGCTCAGCAATGAAATTTTCTGGGAATTTAACAAGTTCAAATGTCTACTTTTCCACCAACCAAAGAGAGCCTAAAGAAAAATCATGCCACAAAAAAGAAAGCAAAAGATAAACAAAACAATCTACCTCTTTAACAACATCACAACAAATGAACAACTGGGTTTTTGTACTAATTTCCAAGAACACATCAAAACCGAGGAATCAAAATAATGACACAGAGGCAAAGAATTACCTGAGAAAGTTACTAGTTCCTCCGATAAATAACTGACCAAGTTCAAACGAAATTGAAATTCCTCACTGGACAAAAAACCCAGCAAAGTTCCTGCGGAAGTTTCCTTAATTGGTTGGCTCGACCTGCTACTCCATCAAAGCGAGTCCAGAACTCCAAAGGGTTTCATGTGATGTGAAGTTTTGTTGCAAAGTGACTGAAATAGTAATAAAGGTCTTGTTTTGAAGGACTTTTCCATGGCTGCGTTGGCGACAATACAAGAGGCTGCTTTTGTCGTCATTGCTTTGTTTTGTGTGTCCTTTGAGTGAGTTCAGAGGAATATGGAATTAGTGAAATACTGAAATACAGAGCCAGCCCTCTCTCTCTCTCTCTCTCTAGATTTTCTCTCTATCTTAATTGTTTGCTTTGTTGCTTTGTTTCCCTCTCCCTCTCTCTCTCTCAGTTGATTTTTGTCAACATGTAAGGTGGATGGGAATAAGAGCTGGCCAAGTTTTGTTACTATTCTCCAACACAATGCCCTTCCAAACATGTCCTAACAAAACAAAACAACAACCATCCTTGTTGCTTAGTGGGTAATAGAGGGAATTGCAAGGGAGAGCCTTGCAAGTGCCTCCAAAACTTGTATTTGGATTCTTTCAAAGGCATAGACCATCCACTTGGTACTTTCTTCTAACATTAAGACAAAGAGACAAGGAAATTATAGGAAAAGCCAAAAGTGGATAGAACATTTAACTTTTGGTGCGGAGTCTTGGGTGTATCATATGGCCCCATTCCTTGTGTATTTCCCTTTTTTTACCCTAGGGCCTAGCACATTCCCTCAATAAACTTTTCTTTGGTATAAATAACCGATGTGAGAAAGGAATTTATAGTTTAAGTGATTAAAATTATTTACTTCCGTACTCGAAGTCCTACGTTCGATTCTCCCCTCCCCAATATTATCTGTATCAAAAAAGAAAAAACAAATTAATGTTATATGAAATTAAACCCTACTTTAAACCAGCTAATCAGCATTAATTAGTGATATACCACATCATTGCACCTAGTATGTTTGAGAGTATATCGATGCGTCATGAGAATTCTACACATGTTGATGGCTTGAAAAGTGGTTAGACTAGTACAATTAAATTTAATGGACAATAAAAATATAAATATAGCTCCATTTAGTGGTAATTCATTAGAATAGGTTGAGGGTAGGCCTCGTCAACGGGCCGGGCCGGGCTAGCCTGGCCCAAATTTAATGGGTTTGGGCTAGGCTGGGTTGGGTTGGGCCGGACTTTAAAGAGAAGAGAGAAAATAACGGACAGGGTAGGGCCGAGCCTAAATTGGCCTACTTTATTTTGTCTTTTTTTTTATATGGATTTTTTTTTGTCAATTATTTATTTATTTATTCTATGTTTTTGGTGTGTTTCTGTGTTTCCATTTTTTTCATAGTTCTCTGTTTACATTTGTCTATATGTTTATGTTTCCATTTTTTTCTTTGTTCATAACTTCATTTTTTTTTTTCCATAAATATAAAGATATAGTTATACAACCACCATATTAATAAACTCATATTTTATCACATACTTCATTTTATTTTTTTTAGTTCTTACAATGATAATAGATAATGATTTTCTCCATCTTTCATTTAACTTGGGTTATTTTATATATTTATTTATATGTATGTGAGCCCGTGGGCCGGACTTTATGGGCGAGCTGGGCTGGGCTTTCTTGGGCTCAAACGGGCCAAGCCTGGCCCACCCAACAACTAGTCGAGTCGGCCCATGGCCCGTAACGGGCCAAGCCATGCTTTTTCTCGATCTGCCTGGCGAGCCCCCATCGCCCATGGGCTCGCATGCCTAATGATGACCCCTATTTGTGGGCCTCATACTTCTCATTATTCAAAAATACTTTGTGGCAATTTTTTTTCTAGCACTGTGGGTACAAGTCTTCCCACCTTGGATGGACCTTGTCCATATGTTTGTCCAAAGCACTTTGATCAATGCATGGTCATACCCATTCTTGTGCACACATAATCTGCATCTCTTGCGATTGTCTAGTGCCCTCAGCCCCTGCACATTAGGTGCGTGCTTATGACGTTTAATTATGTGAGCTAGTTCTTCTTGAGGATCATAGCAGGAGAATTTATCACAGTAGCTGCAGAAAATCGCATCCTCATAGGAATTCATATTGATTTTTCACCTTGGCACTAATATATTAAAGAAAGAAGCCATAACATAAAGCAAGATAAATTAATACAACCTAAACATGTGGATTTTAAGGCCGTTTAACAAAATTGAATAAAAAGGATCAGCATTCTTTCTCTTCTCTCTCTTTTTTATTTATTTATTTATGAAATATAAAAAGAAGAAGAAAAACAAATCATCAAATAAGAGTTGGCTAAACATATAGTTCTTTTTTTAACTAGCCCTCTATTTACATTTGTATACATGTTTATGTCTCCATTTTTTTCTTTGTTCTAACTTCATAGTTCTCTTTTTTTTTTTCTCATAAATAGGCTCAAACTGGCCAAGCTTATGGGCTAGGCCAGGCTTTCTTGGGCTCAAACAAGCCAAGCCTATGAACTAGGTTGGGCTTTAGACACCTAAGCCCAAGCCCGGCCCACTCAACAACGGGCCGGTCAGGCCCATGACCCATAACGGGCAAGAGCCAGGCTTTTTCTCTATTTGCGGGACGGGCCGTCATTAGCCCATGGGCTCGCGGACCTAATGATGATCCCTAATTGAGAGTTCCATTCCTTTCTATCTAACAAAAATTGCAAAACATCACATTTCCTTAATCTTTTCACTGTTTAGAAATTCAATTAACTTGCTTTATGGATTTGTATTATATTCCTGTCACTGCTAAACTCCATCACGGTGATTCACCAATGGTTACTTTTTATTATTATTATTATTCATTCTTATAAATGCAAGGCATATTAGAAGGTGATTCCTATGCATAACGCTAGCCCTACATCAAGACAGCTCATAGATGACCTAATGTTTAACAAAATATATACTATATATTTGTACATCCACATATAAGAAGGGTGTGGGTTCTAACTTTTAATGTGTTCCCATTATAATAACTCTTGTATTTTGTTTAATAATATCCAAAAGAAAACTTCTCAACCAAATACATAAATGATTATAAATTAATGACCCTTCTGTGTTAAAAAGATCGGCTACCATGTTCAATTCTCTCTTCTTCTTTTTTTGAGAGAATAACGATAGTATTTTATTTGTTAAAGATGAGTAACAAGTACAAAAATCGGACTATATTGTTGGGAATTAGGTGAGTGTCTCTACACCATTGGACTCTATCATCAGGGTAACTGAATAGCTATACCCGCTCAACCTCAAAGCGGGAGCAGGAGCCTTATCTCCAGTAGAGTGCCCCCTATCCCCATCAGAACATACCCAAAAAAATTACAAGTTACAATCCGCAAATAAGAGATCAACTATAAAACCTGGGGTTTCCTCAAATCAAGTTAATGAAGTTCCAATATGAAGAACAAAGCGCGCTAATATTCGATTCTCTCTAAATGTGAGTTTGATATTTGAGAGAATTTCCCATCATTTGCCAAATATCATCAGCTATGGAGTGCAAACTCTGGTAGATTCACACCCCTTTTTTGGTAAAGAACTAGTAAAAAACTCTCACGCTCAAATGTTGCTCCTCAAATGTGGCAACTACTGAAAGCATTATATTTAACCATTTATTCGAAATATATTTACAACCACTATTCCATGGATATATAAATGTGGGTGTGGGATGATAATGAGTTATGAGTCAGCCAGCACTTGCATGGGTCGCTCCAAATATAAGTCGACAACTTGAAGCATCTGTCAGTTTCTTTTTTTCTCGGCACTAACTATTTATAATTCGGGCTCGGCAGAACAATTCCAATTCCTTTGTATTGTTGTCTCTGAATTATTTGTTTGCATTTACATGCTTGCAGCATAGGGAAGTCAAACTAGACTCTCACTGCCCTCTTTTTTTAATGCCATTTTTTGTGTGTATATTATATCTCATTCTGGATCAGCATAGTACAATAGTCATTGGGTAAATACAAAATAGAATTTAAATCCAATTGTTATTAAATTGGATTTCCTAACTTTTCTAGGGTTACAAAAAAGCATCTTGAGAGAATCCAATAGGATTTTACGTATATATTTTATATTTTAATAATGTTTATACGTGATTAAAACAATGTTATATATTTTAGAATTTAGGGTTATGATTCAATGCTAAAGGCTTAAAAGGACGTCAATGAGGGTTGGTTCAATTGGTAAAGTCCTTGCATTGTGTGTAGCCCCAAAAATGTTCTAGTTTCGCTGCTAGCAGTCCTCATTGGTTCGCGATCTGTGATTTCCTACATAAATCCATACCGGTGGCAACTGGCAGTTGGGTGCCACGCTTAAGTCCTTCTAGCTCGAGGTTGTGAGTCTGATCTGACGCTGGTGATGAGAATAGCCAATCTCTCCTTAAACTTTGGAAAAAAAAAAAAAAGGGGAGCTTAAAAGGACACAGTTTTGGACAGACAATACAACCATAATTTCACTAACCATAGTGTGTATCAAAAATTCTTGCCAAATTTGTTCTTATCTCGGTTTATATCTATGCTTTCAAATTTTGTATTTTTCTTATAGAGTCAATCACAGCCATATCTGACCCAAAAAAATGAAAGCCATAAGAAGTATACACAGAGTGAGTGAGTCAAATTAGCTCACCAAAAACAAACCAAGAAGAAATCAATAACACTTGATTAGTTGGATGCTTTCAAGATCAAGCCTCTTAGGTGGTATCAGTGAAAGAGAAAGCTCAATGAGGGTTGTGTCTTAAAAGGTGCCGTCGGTCTTAACAATGAGAGGGTCAGAAAATTGACCTTTTGGCCAGCCAATGCAAATTAAAAACAACTTTCCTAGATTACTACGTGGTACCAAGACTGCATTATCCCTCTAAGTTTCAGTTAGACTATGCAATCCATTGGAGGGTGCGTTAAAAACAAATACAGAAGGGCCCACAAAATTTACGTTTGGTTTTCATGATTTTTGGACTGTTTTCTTCTGTTTTTTTTGCTCTTTGGTAAAGATCTAGACCTTCTTTGGAATAAGTTTTTACAGCTGACTAATGATACAGAGTTTATATTGCAATTGATATCTCTTAATCATTTTATTACTACCAGTCATCTTTGGAATTGTTTATTTAGCCCTAATCAAAAGATCAAACGAATCCCTTTACCTCATCAAAAGGGCAAGGATCAAAAGCGGAAAACTGATTAACCGGGTTGAACCAAGCCGAAAAAAACCGTGTTGAATAAAAGATTGACTTCTGTTCAAAAAACTGAATCAAACCGGTTTGGTCTGATTTCAGATT